TCCAACTGATTAAAAACAACAGGAAAAAAAGGAAATGATTCACAAACCACAGGTGCTTAAAAGAACTATGTTTCTAATCCTATATAGGCCCACAAAACCAAATATAGCTTCATCTTCCAGCTCTGGATGTGTCAATTCAAATGAATGTGTCACTTTTGTTTATTGTAAAAGATTGATAGTAAATAAGATGAATGACCGATGCTAGTCTACACAGAGAATACTGCAAGTTTCCCAGCAGCTGAAGCATGGGTAGTCAATATCACAGAATGTCAGCTTCTTTCCATAAGCTTCCTTACATTACAGGAGATACTCTGGTGCATGTGTTATTATAGGACAGTGATGGTGAAACTTTTAGAGACCAAGTGCCCCAAAACTGGCCCCGCCCCCACTTCACCCCCTGCCCGGCCCCCACTCTGCCCCATCCCCCGCCCCGCCTCCCCACAGAACCACTCACCGCTTCCAGGGCCTGCCGCAGATCACCAAGGCAGCCCAACAGCGCTATGGCGGCCACACCTCTACCCGCGCCCTGCAGCATCAACTACATGATGGGGTGTGAGGGCAGAGTCTTGTCTACGCTGCCTGGCTGCCATGTCCTTGGCTGCGCTGCTCCGTGTGGGCCACGCTCGATGGCGACTTTCCTTCAGGGGGGCTGCTGGAGAGGAGGGGGTCATGGGGGAGGCAAGGTTGGGGCAACGGCACGTGTGCCCACAGAGAGGGCTTCGAGTGCCACCTCTGGCACCCGTGCCTAGGTTCACCACCACTGTTATAGGGGAAGGAATTGCAGAACCTGGAGGCAGAGTGAAAAGAGGAATCAGCTTAAAATCCCTATGTAGCCATAAGTGAACTAAGTCCAACCCCCTTGAGTGCCCCTGGCTCTTATCTAACTCTATCCAGGCGCCAACTGTTAGCTGAGATTTCTGTCCATAGGCTTTTAGCAATAAATCAGCTTTACTGGATCTCTATGAAAGTCATCCAGGTCACGGTTGTCCCAAAGGTGTTTTTTCAAAAAGCAACTGGACTTTGTTTTTCTTTGAAGAAGTTTTTGCTTCTTATCGAAGCACCTTTTTCAGTTCTGTAGAAGCTTCTTGGATAACAAGCAAAACGTCTTCAAGGTAAAACAAAGTCCAGTTGCATTTTTAAAAAGCACCTTTGGGATAGCTTTAGTGGATCTTCACCAGCGAACCTGATCTTTTGCACCTAACACTTACTTAGCTGTAAACTGATGCTGCCAACAAAGAAGCATGTAATCAAACCAAACCGTTGATAGACAATGAAATAGCAATAAGCAGATTAAATGCAATCCTATGATTTATACGGTGATGAACATCTCCCTTGGTGCATACTAAGGTCTGCTCTTCCCAAGCTGAAAAAAAAAGAGAAGTTTTTTAAAGATCAGAATACTTTTTCTAAAGTACATCTTTATATTTTCCCAGCTGGGAAAAGAAAAGAAAAGATTTAAAGGGACCTGGTAGTTTGTTGTTAAGACAGAGAGGATGGTGAGAGTATGTCCTGTGCTAGCAAATACAAAATAAGTTTTTATGATGGCTATAAATCTCTTCACAATAGAAGATGAGTTGAAAAGCCACCCAACATACTTCATAAGCCAGAGTTCCCACGCAGGCAAATCTAATATCAAGGCATCAGACCTAAGTGGAGTTTTGTACTAGTTTACAGAACAGTTACAGCAGAGGTCCCCAACCTTTTAGGCACCAGGGACCGGTTCCGTGGAGAGAGATTTTTCCGCAGACCAGAGGGGGCGTGGTTTTGTGTGCTGCCTGCATCTCACGGATGGGACTTTGCTTGTTTGTGCGGCCTGGTTGCTGGCATGCCGCGGCCCAGTACTGGTCCACGGACTGGGGGTTGGGGACTCCTGAGTTACAGAATCAGAAGCAGCAGACAATCAGGAAGCCAAGTCCATGGTTGAAAAATTATTTACCAAGAGAAATCTGACTCTCAAAGCCCTCTTTTATAGCATTTTGTCCATTTCCTTGTGTCATAGCTCTTTCTTCATTAAGCCAATGAGATTTCTTGCTCACTGAACAACTGTACCCTCTCCCCATTTAGTGTCCACAATCTGTTCCAACAATTTGGTCATTAAGCAAAATGGTCACTATGTGAACACATGCCAGACATGTCTGAGAGAGATGCTGCAAAGATCACTAATTGCTGCCATCTCATTCATACAAAGTTATCTTATACAGTGTCCTGTGCCTGACCCTGTTTTTGTCCCCTCACAGGGCAGAGACATTGCTTAGCCTTAGACAAACTATCTCTTCTCGAACTGTTTTCCTCCCACAGCTTCCCTAAAATGTGTTAATTGCAAGCTAACAAACTCAGGTCCCTGACCTTAATTAGTTGAGTAGAATTCTCTGCTGGCTGGTGCTGTGGCCTGAATCAGTTTTATACTGAAGGCTTTTGTTGTCAGGCCCACAAAATTTGGCCATAAATGAATGCATTGGTTGAAATGATTTTTTTTTCTTATTACCATCATATTTGCAAATAGCTGCTGCTAAATGAAGAGTGGCTTCACTCACCCAATCTTTCTAGGGGTGTGAGGATCTACACATATTCAAGGTCTACTTCAGGTGACTTGGTTGACTGTTGTGCTTCTGCTTAATTGACTGTTCTGGAATTGCAGGCTCATTCTTCAAAAGGCTGTTCCTGAACCTCATCTGAGAGCTTATTGGCTCCTGAGTTGCAAGGTGAAATTCAGAAGTCCCTGCTCCTCCAGTTTTGAGTCTTATGATCAGGCAGGTACATACAGAAGAAGGGGAAAGACTGATAATTGTGATGGGCTGTGTTCATCCAGGAAGCCATTCTGTGGTCATATCATCTCCCTGGATGAACATCACAACTACTGTTTTTTCTCTGCAACAGTTTGAAAGAAAATCCAAATTTCCTCACTATCCCCCCAAAATTGATAAAGCCCTCATATGACGCTGCCCTGCTAGCCTTATCTATTGTGTTCTGGTGAGTTAAGTCCCCATTATAAAAAGTGCAACCCACCAATAAGCCTATCAAAAACATATAGGCAGTCCTAAATTGAAAAATCAAAATCTTCTGAGTTTTACAACATGAAGTAAGCTTGCTGTCCAAAAGGAATAAAACATTAATGTGTATATAGGGGCTTTTACACTCACAGTTTTCTTAATGGAATTACAAACTATAATGACAGCCAACACCCATCTCATATCAACAAGAATAAAAACAAAACTCTATTACATAGCTCAAGAAACTATTTTTAAGTGAAAGGAAAACAATCAGACTTAGTTACCTCAAGGCTTTTCATTCTCAGTCATAGCCATCTATTCATTAGGGTTATATTTCTCACAAATTAGGAAACCACATAAATAAAGTGATGACTTATCTCTTACGGTAGATGCAGTATTTTAGTCTGTAAACAACAGTTAAAAGACTGCAAATGAAATCTGTTCCAAAAGCACAATCTTTCGTATGCACAGCCAAAATAGCTAATTAATGAGTCTTATTACCAGATAACCATAAGACCATAATTTTAAATGAAGAAGGCAGGACAGTTGCACAGTAAATTTTCCACCACTTCTGAAGCCCTGCTTTATCATAATTTCCACCAGATCCTTTGGAGAAGCAAGATGCATAATATAAGGCCTTTGAGATGTTACTAGACTTCAGTTCCCATAATCCCAAAACAATGACCACATTAGCTGAGGATGAGGAAAAACAGAATCCAATTCATCGGCAAGTAAATATTTCCCTATTTGTGTCTCAGATGCTGGAAATGTTCAAACTATTTAACATTGCCCTAATAATTCCATTTTCCCCCCTTTGTGGTATAGCAGCAGGAATGACAATAACTATTCAATATGAGTTGGCAGCATGACTATTTTCATCTTTAACGGATATGTGTGTGTGTGTGTGTGTGTGTGTATGTATGTGTATGTATATGTATATCTATAGATATATAGATATAATGTTCCTCTTTGCCCAGAAAAAGAGATGTGGGTGGAATGCCTTACAGTATAACTCATCCGTTCTCTTAGAAACTATAACCCATTTAACATTCTCAGACGTTGGGAGTACTTCTCCCAGCCATCACGGCCAGAGTAAGGAAGCGACATTAGGAGGACGTCATGTTGAGTCGAGTATAAATCTGCCCGCCCGAAACTGAAGCTAATTGTTGCCACTTTTCCACTCCTTCATATCCTCTTTTAGTTTCTGCGGTAGCCGGCCCTGAAACGCCACTTTCGGCTTCGGCTTCCATCACTTCTACTTGCAAAGACGCGTCGGCAGCGGCGGGAAACTTCCCGTGCCGCCCCGCGTGCTCCAGCCTCAGCCAAAAGGTGGCCGCCACCCTCGCCCTCCCCCGCCGTTTCCTTCCCTCGCTGAAAGCAGAGTCTAGAAAAAGTTCAACTACACGGGGACGGGTTGTTGTTCAAACTTTTCCTCAAGGGAGCCACGGCCAGGGCTCCGTGGGAAGTCTGCCCAAACCCAGGCAACAACAAGACGCAGCGGGGAGGAGGCATTTCTTCTGGAAAACTAACGGGCCGCTTCAGGAGGAGACAAGAGGCACCGCCGCTTAAGGCGATGAAGGAAAAAGCTTCCTGACTCCCAAGAACAGGCAGGCTGAAGGAAAGAGATTTGGCAAAGGCTCCCAAAGGAGCGCGGTTTCCTCCGGCCGGTCGGCCGCCTCCCCCCCCCCAAAAAAACGCAGCAGCCCAAAAGCCGAAGGGGGGGGGGTAAGTCCCTTTCTCGATGAGAAAAAGAGAAAAAAATAGGATGGCATGGATAAAAGACTCCGAACCCCCCGGCGTTGAGATGTTTTTCCAGAGCGACAGTGGTTAATAACTCCCCCCTCCCATTTATTTTTTAGGACAGCCTCCTCCCCCCTCTCCCAAGTTCTCGCTTGCAGAAGCCATCCCGAGTTGCCGCGTTGGGCGGCCAAAGGGGCGCCAAGTGGCTACAGACAAGGGTCGCTCCATCTCTCCCCCCCCCTCCCGCCCACGATTGATTGGCGAGCTCACCTCGCTGAAAAGAGCGCCGCGCGCGCTGGAGACAATTCACGGGCAGCGGCAGCGCGCGAAGCCGAGGTGGGCTCCGACGCCCTCCATAGCAGCCAAGTGCGGCGTCCGGCTGATGCTCCGCGCCGAGCTCTGTGTGGAGAGCGGCCACTCGAGGCCGCGGTCCCCGGTCCCTCCTCTCTCTCCTCCTCCTCCTGCCTCGGCTGCCGGCCGCCACCTCCGGGCCACTCCCTGCTTCGACGCTGACGCGCACGTGGCTTCTGGAGGTTGCTACTGCGCAGGGAGGCGGCGGGAGGTTTCCGCTGGGGGTGCCCTTTGCCCTGGCCCGACGTGGACCGGTGGCGCCCCGGTTTCGTTGCAACGACAGAGTATGTAATTTTGAGAATGCCCGCTTACTGGGCAACTCTGCTCGCACTTATCTCCACTAGGAAGTACTTATGCCCGAATATGCATATGCAAAAGGTTGCAGCCGAGCTGTGCAAACCTATTGGGGGGTCTGTTCATTTTAGCCATTGTCTGTCCAATGCAGGATGAAGGTCTCTTCCGCGTGTTTTTCTAACCCATAGGGTCCTGAGCTTTCTTTAGCCAATTGGGCCCACAGTATTTACTGATGTTGTGGAACCATCGTTCGTGGATGCTTTTTATCAAGTGGGATTCATTCTATGACTGCCTTGGTCCACCTGCCATCAGTTCTTGCTATGTGACCAGCCCATTCCATTTTAATTCATTGATGCTTATTGCTAAATAAGTACAGGATCACAATACAGCCTGCCTTTTAAGTATTGCTTATTGCCCAGATGTCATCCTCCCTTATATCTTTTGCAGTCATAGAAGGCAAAGTGACTCCAATGGCTGTGTGTGTACCATATATAGATGTTGCTGAACTATAACTCCTTATCTTCCCTCATTGATCATTCTGGTTGAATCTGCTCTGAATTTTAGCAACTTCCAGAAGGCCACAGGTTCTCCAGTCCTTACTTGAAGCTCAGTGCCAATAAATGATGGAGAGCTGTTATTATTTCTGGTGGACTACAATAGTAGTAAGATAACTAACTGGACATCATGCAGTATCTAGGAAAGGACCTGCTATGGGGAATATGTTTCTCCTTCCTCCTGCTGTCTCTGGAGGAAGGGAGTAGTTAAGATCCAGTTGCTATAGATCTGCAGAAATGATTGGAAACACTCTGCTGTCAGCCATGGAGGCAGAAATCATTCCATGAACTAAGCCCAAACTGAACAAACCCCAGACTCTGGAAAGCATTCTCTGTATTTAGATGAATGTGAATGAAAAATGACTGATGTTATGAATTGTGCTAATATGGCTTGGTTTGGTTTAGTGTATTGCATATGCCCAACTGCTGTGATTTATAAATAATGGTATAGCATTGTTTATAAACTTGGCCATTGTTTAAACCAACAAAGCGTGGCTAAAATAAATCATGTTTAATACATATGGTATTAACTATGTGTTTAATAAAACAGTACTTACACTGGTGATTTTTTTCCTTTGCAGAAATAAGTATGTTGACAATCTTATTCTGGGGTCCCAATTTAAAACTTGCTCTTAATTTGGGATGGGAGGGCATAATTTTTAATGTTAGGAAAAATACTTCCCCAGTGTTTTCTTGAAGCTACAGTTTATGGTAATGGAGAGGGTCCCTGACCTTAATTGGAATAAATAAATAGAATCCAGACTTAACATATTTCAAATTTGTTGTTGTTGTTAATTGCGAAGTCGTGTCCGACCCATCGCGACCCCATGGACAATGTTCCTCCAGGTCTTCCTGTCCTCTACCATTTTCAAATTACCATCTTTCAAATTAAAACTCTGCTTTTTCATTAAAACATGTTTAAATGTGCTATGAGTAAGATTGCATGTAGCTTGCTTCTGACATTTGTAGTGTAAGAGAAAATGACTTTATCACTTCCATTTGAGTAATTTTATCTAAAGAGAAATCCCTCTGTAAAAATAGCAGTTTTTATATTAATAATAATAATAAGTTGGGAGGGACCTTGGAGGTCATCTAGTCCAACCCCCTGCTCAGGCAGGAAACCCTATACCAGTGGTGGTGAACCTATGGCATGGGTGCCAGAGGCGGCACTCAGAGCCCTCTCTGTGGGCACGCGCGCCCTTGCCCCAGTCCTAGGCCTTCAGCTGGGTTTTATAAAACCTTTTCGCTTCAGGCCTCTGCCGCCGTGTACAAAAAAAAAAGGTTCAATCAGCCAATTTCAACTTCTCACGGGGAAAAAAAAGATCTTGCCAAGTTGGAATTGATTGATTGAACTTTTTAGTCCCACCCAGTCTGCTATTACCACCACAGCCATGCCCACCCAATGGGCCACACACACCCGGCACCCGACGATGCATAAGTGAGTTTTGGGTTGCAGTTTGGGTACTTGGTCTCTAACAGGTTCGCTATCACTGCCCTATACCATTTCAGACAAATGGCTGTCCAGTTTCTTTTTAAAAACTTCCAGTGTTGGAGCATTCACAGCTTCTGGAGGCAGGTTGTTCCACTGGTTAATTGTTCTCACTGTCAGGAAATTTCTCCTTAGTTCTAGGTTGCTTCTCTCTTTGCAGTATCTTACTTGCAGTATCTTTGTAAACATGTCCACTTGTAAACATGTCTTGGTAACAGTTTCTTTGTTGTTGTACCCCCTTAATGTTGTCTTCATCTTAACTCCAGCCCATGATTAAGACAAGCTTAAGCCATTATTTACTGTGTGTTCTTATGACAGCACCATCCAAGGGCAGGCTGAAAGTGTATAAATCTGTTAAGCTTGTTACTTACTATCTTTTGGAGAAATCAGATAACTGCAGTGACTTCAAACAGAGGTGGGAGAGGCAAGATAGTGATTTACTATGGGATAGGATAGGGTTACCAGGTATGTGAATAGGCAACTGAGGACATTGATAATGAGAAGAACAAATGATGAACACAAGGACACACTATCTGTTTACCTTTCCTGGCATCTGCAACAAAAATTACAATGAAAAACTGCAAAAAAAAAAAAAAATCTACTTAGGCCTCCATGTATATGAAAATTACTTTTTTTCAGCATCAGAAAGACTGATTGTTCAATTACAATATTTTTTTAACAAACCTTTATTTTCAAGAATATACGCTGGTGACAGTGTAAACAACAATGCATTCTTCAAATTTTACCATAGAAACATTTTATTATGAATCATGTGATTTACAGACTACAAAGATTTGAAGGGGTTGGAATGAAACTGACTGATGGAATCAGGAATAAATAGCGTAAATCTAGGCTGCTGAATCTGTTGACAGATAATGGAAAAAAATGAGGCGGACAATTTACAAGCTTGGAATAAATGAAAGTTTGAATAACTACTACTGTGAACACAGTCCAACCCCCCCCCCCGAGCTGGTAAATATTTGATTTTATGACTGTGAATGGAAGACATGAGGGCAAAAAGGACAGGTAAGCCTACAGTGAGGATAACTTAAGTTTTATTGTGATATAATTTTCTGGCAAGTTGAGAATGAGGGAGAGGATTCCAATATTTTCACTTCAGTGTTTTTTTGGTTTTTTTTGGGGTGGGAAAGGATTCTGCATTCATAGCCCTGTCATTTCAGTTTATGTAATTAATCAAAATATTTTTTGTACTATGATAAATGGGGAGGTTCCATGTTAAACAAGAGAACGAATGTAAATTCTCACAATCTTAAACAGAGGTTAGGCTTGAAAGTAATGTGTTTAGAGAATAAAGGCCGTATTTCAAAATCACATGTAAATATTGCTTTAGGAGCAAATCTTCCTTCAAAATTCCATATTTTTCATCATGTTCTAGTGATTATTTTGTATGTTTGAACCAGGACTGCACACCTCCCATCAGCTCAAGGGTCACAACCCTCTCTATAGCATATTAAGAGTTCTAATCTCCAACTGGACCCATTTTGGAACTAATTTTGTCCCCTAAACTCCTTCAACGACAACAATCCCTACACCTCATCTGAAAGACTGGGGGTATTCAAAAGGGATGCTGGCATGACTCATATGGGCCATATTTTTGAAGCTGTGTTGTAAAAATATCTAACGATGACCACAGTTTTTGTGTTGTATAGATCCATGTCGAACAGCATTATTTTGTTCTTTCATATTTTGTGTATGCTTGATATTAAAGACTAGTTAATACATTAAGTACCAAGAATCAAATCCTGATTAGGTTCACATACCATACTAAAGGCAGAAATAAACAAATTTATCCTATTGCTTAAATGTAGCTTTTCTGATTTGTAAACCATTTCTCACAGCTTAGGGTATAATGTAAACCCAGCCCACTCAAGTTTATTCAACAAACTTACTAAAATAAAAACAATTTTGCACAACCTCTGGCCCAATGGTGATTTCAACACATCTTGCTAAATCATGTTTCAAGAGGGCATGGGGAACAGCAGTATGTTTTGACTAAATTGCCAAATAGTGTTTAGTAGGGCATCAGCAGAGCTTTTTATCTGTATAAATAATAAAGGAGCAATTCTGGCATATATCAGTATATAAATGTGATAATGTTATATTAAGTTTGCAGTCATTGGGCCCTTGAGACTCTGAACTTGGAGAGAGTAGTTTGACATCAGTTTTCCTTCTTCAATCATTGCCAATCCCCTGATCAAAAATTCTGCCATTTAATGAAGGCTGAAGGGTGGTAGTGCTGATGTTCGACCTCCTGAGGAGGGAGGCAGAATCTTGTAAAGATTGGAAGGGACTTTGGAGATCATCTATTCCACCTCCCTTAAAAACAATGTAGGAATTCAGTATCATAGCATAGTGAGATGGTTATCCAACCTCTCTTTAAATATCCCCAGGGAAGGAGAATCCATTCCCTGCCCTTTTCCATATGCCCACTATTTCAAACACCTGTTAGGGCAATCTTAATATTTTTCCTCACTTTATGAGTAATCTGTTGGCCTAGCCCAGGAGTATGCAACCCAAAACACTCAAAGAGCCACTTGGACCCGTTTCCCACCAAAAACAAAACACCAGGAGCCGCAAAACCCTTTTGATATGTAAAATGAAGATAACACTGCATATATCCTTTTTTACCTTTATTATAGGTATGTGTGTGTTTGTGTGTGTGTATGTATGTGTGTGTATGTATGTGTGTGTATATATATGTGTGTGTGTATGTATGTATGTGTATATATATATATACATACACACACACACACACACGTAAAAAAAGGATATATGCAGTGTTATCTTCATTTTAGATGTCAAAAGGGTGTCTCTCTCTCTCTCTCTCTCTCTCTCTCTCTCTCTCTCCCTCTCTATCTGCCCTTGGTCTGCCACTCCTCTTCCCCCACTCTT